AGTTCCTTAAAAAGTTAAATATAGAGTTACCATATGACCTAGCAATTCCATACCTAGATGTATGCCGAAGAGCAGTGAAAACATACGCCCACACAAAAGCTTGTGCATCCAGTGTTCAGGGCAATAATCCAAAATGAAACAACCCAAATATCCATCAACTGAATGGATATGCAAAATGCTATATCCATATAATGGAGTATTACTTGGCAATAAAAAGGAATGGAGTACTGACATGCTACAACACGAACCTACCTTGAAAACATTATACTAAGTGAAGGAAGCCAGACACAAAAGACTACAGATAATGTGATTTCACTTACATGAAACGTCCAGAATAGGTAAATCTATACGGCAAGTAGATTAGTGGTTGCCTATGGCTGGTAGAGGGTAGAAAGGTGAGGACTAGGGAGAAAAGGAGAGTGATTACTAGTGGGTATGCAGTTTCTTTGGGGGTAATGAAATGTTCTAAAACTGATTGTGTTGATGGTTGCACAACTGTGAATATACTAAAAACCACTGAGTTGCAACTTTAAATGGGTCAATTGTATGGTATGTGAATTATACCTCAATAAAGCTGTTATCCCCAAACTCAAATATATCAATATATAAAACTCAAATATATCTATATATATATATCTATATATATATATTATATATATATATAATATATATATATATATATAAAGCAGAATTCACCCTGCGTTTTCAGGGTGGCACTGTGGTTAAAAGCGTGGTGAGTCACGCTTCTGTGTGTAACCCAGTTACTTCCCTACTTCTAGATGTGTTGCTGTTGTTGTTGTTCAGTCACCCAGTCGTGTCCAACTCTTTGTGACCCTATGGACTGCAGAATGCCTGGCCTCCCTGTCCCTCACCATCTCCTGGAGTTTGCCCAAGTTCACGTTCATTGCATTGGTGATGCTGTCCAACCATCTCATCCTCTGATGCCACTTCTCCTTCTGCCCCAGGAGTCTTCTCCAGGATCACAGTTCAAAGGCATCAATTCTTCAGCATTTTGCCTTCTTTACGGTCCAGTTCTCACAACCATCTGTGAGCACTGGGAAGACCACAGCCTTGACTATATGGACCTTTACTGGCACAGTAATGTCTGTGCTTTTCAACACACGGTCTAGGTTTGTCATTGCTTTCCTGCTAAGAAGCAATTGTTTTCTGATTTTATGGCTGCAGTCACCATCCGCAGTGATTTTGGATCCCAAGAAGAAGAAATCTGTCACTATTTCCACCTTTTCCCCTTCTATTTGCCATGTAGCAATTGGGCTAGATGTTCACGATCTTAGGTTTTTTTTTTTTTTTTTTTAATATTTAGTCTTAAGCCAGCTCTTTCACCCTCCTCCTTCACCCTCATCGAGAGGCTCATTAGTTCCTCTTCACTTTCTGCCATTACAGTAGAATCATCCACATATCCGAGGTTGTTGATTTTTCTTCTGCCTATCTTGATTCTAGATTGTAACTCATCCAGCCTGGCATTTCTCATGATATGCTCAGTGTATAGGTTAAACAAACAGGGTGACGGCAGACAGCTCTGTTGTACTCCTTTCTCGACTTTAAGCTAATCAGTTGTTCCATACAGGTTTCTAACTTGTTTCTTGACCTGCATATAGGTTTCCCCAGAGACAGGTAAGATGGGCTGGTATTCCCATCTCTCTAAGAGCTTTCTACAGTTTGTCATGATCCACACAGTCAAAGGCTTTAGTGTAGCTGATGAAACAGAGATAGGTGTTTTTCTCAAATTCTCTTGCTTTCTCTATAATCCAGAGAATGCTGGCAATTTGATCTCTAGTTCCTCTTCTTTCTCTAAACCCAGCTTGGACATCTGAAAGTTCTTGGTTTGCATAATGCTGAAGCCGAGCATGCAAGATTTTAAGCATGACCTTGCTAGCATGGGAGATGAGTGCAACTGTCCAATGGTTAGCACATTTCTTTGGTACTACCCTTCTTGGGAACTGGGATGAGGATTGACCTTTTCCAGTCCTGTGGCCACTGCTGGGTCTTCCAGATTTGCTGATATAATGAATGCAAAATCTTTATGGCATCATCCTTTAGGGATTTGAATAGTTCTGCTGGAATTTCATTGCATCTACTAGCTTTATTAACAGCAGTGCTTCTTTTTTTTTCTTCTTTTCATTTATTTTTTATTAGTTAGAGGCTAATTACTTCACAACATTTCAGTGGGTTTTGTCATACATTGACATGAATCAGCCATGGAGTTACATGTATTCCCCATACCGATCCCCCCTCCCACCTCCCTGTCCACCCGATTCCTCTGGGTCTTCCCAGTGCACCAGGCCCGAGCACTTGTCTCATGCATCCCACCTGGGCTGGTGATCTGTTTCACTATAGATAATATACATGCTGTTCTTTCGAAACATCCCACCCTTGCCTTCTCCCACAGAGTCCAAAAGTCTGTTCTGTAAATCTGTGTCTCTTTTTCTGTTTTGCATATAGGGTTATCATAACCATCTTTCTAAATTCCATATGTATGTGTTAGTATGTTAGCTGTAATGTTCTTTATCTTTCTGGCTTACTTTACTCTGTATAATGGGCTCCAGTTTCATCCATCTCATTAGAACTGATTCAAATGAATTCTTTTTAACGGCTGAGTAATATTCCATGGTGTATATGTACCACAGCTTCCTTATCCATTCATCTGCTGATGGGCATCTAGGTTGCTTCCATGTCCTGGCTATTATAAACAGTGCTGCGATGAACATTGGGGTGCACGTGTCTCTCAGATCTGGTTTCCTCAGTGTGTATGCCCAGAAGTGGTATTGCTGGGTCATATGGCAGTTCTATTTCCAGCTTTTTAAGAAATCTCCACACTGTTTTCCATAGTGGCTGTACTAGTTTGCATTCCCACCAACAGTGTAAGAGGGTTCCCTTTTCTCCACACCCTCTCCAGCATTTATTGCTTGTAGACTTCTGGATAGCAGCCATCCTGACTGGCGTGTAATGGTACCTCATTGTGGTTTTGATTTGCATTTCTCTAATAATGAGTGATGTTGAGCATCTTTTCATGTTTGTTAGCCATCTGTATGTCTTCTTTGGAGAAGTGTCTGTTTAGTTCTTTGGCCCATTTTTTGATTGGGTGATTAATTTTTCTGGAATTGAGCTGCAGGAGTTGCTTGTATATTTTTGAGATTAATCCTTTGTCTGTTGTTTCATTTGTTATTATTTTCTCCCAATCTGAGGGCTGTCTTTTCACCTTACTTACAGTTTCCTTTGTTGTGCAAAAGCTTTTAAGTTTCATTAGGTCCCATTTGTTTATTTTTGCTTTTATTTCCAATATTCTGGGAGGTGGGTCATAGAGGATCCTGCTGTGATTTATGTAAGAGAGTGTTTTACCTATGTTCTCCTCTAGGAGTTTTCTAGTTTCTGGTCTTACATTTAGATCTTTAATCCATTTTGAGTTTATTTTTGTGTATGGTGTTAGAAAGTGTTCTAGTTTCATTCTTTTACAAGTGGTTGACCAGTTTTCCCAGCACCACTTGTTAAAGAGGTTGTCTTTTTTCCATTGTATATCCTTGCCTCCTTTGTCGAAGATAAGGTGTCCATAGGTTCGTGGATTTATCTCTGGGCTTTCTATTCTGTTCCATTGATCTATATTTCTGTCTTTGTGCCAGTACCATAGTAACAGCAGTGTTTCTTAAGGCCCATTGGACTTCGCACTCCAGGGTGTCTGGCTCTGGGTGATTAACCACACCGTTGTGGTAATCTGGTTCATTAAGATCTTTCTTATATAGTTCCTCCATGTATTCTTTCCATTCCATTCCATGTTTAACCTTGGATAAGTTCTTTAATCCTTAAGTTGCTACTGAACCTCATTTTTCTCATATGTGAAATGGGTATGTATTAATAATACCTATCTCCAAATAGGTACCTATCTTCAGGGGTCTTCTGAAGATGAAATGCGATCAGGTATATATAACATTTATGACAGGGGCTACATAGTAAACACATACTAAATACTGACTGCTGTGAAATTATTAGCTAATACATGTTAATAACAAACAACTAGAAGTAGACCAATGTCCAAGAGCGAAGAGAGCTTAAGAAAAGTATGCTACCCATGGAATCCACTTGTTTCATTAAAATAATAGCTAGTTGGGGTCCATGTAGATATGGAAAGTCTGATCTATAAGAAATGTTTGCAGGAAAACAGCACGCCCCCGGCCCCAAAAAAGTAGGTCTAAAATGGGAAAAACAAAGTAAGTGTGACAAAAAGTGAGATGCAAAGTTTCATGATGGATCGTGTGTCATAAAGGAAGGATCCTCTGGATTTGTTTCTTATTTGCCACATCACTCTTGCGGCTATCCTAACACTGGTCCTAAGTAATATAAAATAAAGCAAGTTAGCTGGCGTACATTAAACTGAGGCGGCTCAGCCACCCAGAGGTTTCCAGCACTGTCTAGTGACTGACGCCATGACAAGAACCTCAGGCTGCCACGCGGTCCTGAAGAAGCTTCCGGCGTGTCAGCCACTCACTCCTGCTCCCTGGCGCTCAGGGTCTTCCCTGAGGGTCTTCCCTTAGTTTCAGATCTTGAGGACTCTAACATGCAGTCTTTATGGTTCTGACTTTTCCTATACTCCAAGAACCAAAAGTGGGGACATCAGGGCACTTGTATTCCCTGAGCGTCTTTTGGGTTTTTTCCTTTTGCTTCTGGGTCTTGTGCGAAGCTTGGCGTCAGCATCACCGGAGGATGGGCTAAGGACAAACTACAACTGGTTTCCCAAGTGAACTGATTCAGCAGGGAGCCCCATTCTCAGAGAAAAGGGTGAGTTCTGCTCACTTCCACACCTCTACCCAGAACATGCCAAAGTAGAGCCAAGTCAGACACATGTCAAAAGCAGCAGGGTTTATTTGTGGGCACGCAGTAAGCCCTCCTAAAATGTTTCTGAAGCAAACTGCACATAAAAATGTCTACACATACACCTGGAGGAAGAAAACTCTCACTGTGGTGAGTAGGGCCAGAGGGTGACTCACGTGTGTCCACCGTTTCCTGAATCGGGATGAAGCCGACAGGCAGAGTGTCCTTGATGTCGATGAGCTTCATGTCCACTAACACGTTCCCTAAATGGCTCTTGGGAAGAAAGAAAGAGATACAGACGATTAATCTGAACACGCCTGTGGTGGGTCTGCCATTCTGGCTTCAAAACGCATATTTAACACAATGACTCATGCAGCTTTACGACAGCAGGTTAATTAGAGTAGGTGCCAGTTAATGATCCCCAGCGGCTACACGGGGACTCTGGTGGCCCCCAGGAAAGGATTTCATCTGCAGAACCTCAAGGCCACTCAGACGTGTCCTTGGTTTGCAGGACAAGTGGCCCAGGAGATGCCCGAGATGTAACCGAGCAGAGGGCAGCTGTGCACCCACATCCCAGGACCACGTGGCCCCTTAGCCCTGAGCATCAGCTCTCGGGGAAGCAGATTTAAAAGAGCACATTCCCGGGGTGGCTGTTGCCCTGGGAGGCAGGGGAGCTGCATCTCTAACAGAGAATCAACCACACCCCAATGATCGCTGGTCTCTGCATACTGACACACATTTCAGTGGCTAGATATGTTCTGTAAAACCCCACGAATCGTAAACTCACACAGAGTGGAAAAGCCCTGTTGCCTAATATTACACATCTTCCAAAATGACATGTACAGGGGCCTCTTAAAGCTTCTACTTAGTGGTGGTACATGGGGTCCACAGTGCACAGTTTTCCATAACCAGAGCAAAAATATCTTCGAAGATGGCACGCTGTCCCATAATTGCGAGAGAGAATTCTCTGCAAACGCGCTGGCACTTGCAGCCCACATTTCAAGTTGGAAACGAGCTCTAAAGAGATCTACCCTACAACTTAAAACAAAGTGGGGCCACCTCGGAGGTTTCATTAACATCTTCAGAGTCATTTACAACTTAGCTCCCCCCCTCTCTAGTTAGAGCCAGTTAGAAAAAGAATGATGCCTTCCCATCCCAAATCTCTCCTGTTAGGATGCTAACAACGCACTTGGCATGCCCATCTTCCAGAAATGCCCAAACCCCCATAAGCACACGTGCGGTTTACTTGGGCTGTGTTCCCAGATGACCCCACCACCTTGCCCTGCACGGCAGGAGAGTCAAGCCTGGCCTGCTCAGAGAAGGGCGCAGCCCTCAGTCTCTGTGGCCCCGCCCGTCATGCCCAGTGCCAGCACCATCACTGAAAGCCAAGCAGGGACTCCTATCATCTCAACTCTACGCTTTGTTCCCTCTTGGCACTCTCAGCTTTCCTTCGTATCAGTTTCTAATGGCATGTTTGTGAGGTTTTTATTTAGCATCTGCTTCCCCACCAGGGTTTAAGAACCACGAGGACCAAAACCATCTCTGCTACTACTATATATCCAAGCCTAGCATAGATCTTGGCAAACAGTAGGTACTCAATAATTACTGCTGAATAAATTACTATTTTGGGGTACATTTTTAACCAGGCAGGCCACTCAGAATCAGAAATCATAATGGACTTGCTCGGACGACAAATCTAAATAATGCCAACAAAAATATTAAAAGTATATTTAATAAATGCATTATAAACCAAAAGTACACAAATGAACTAAATTCCTGAAATTTAGTCATGAAGGTTAAAGTGTCGAGTGTAAACTATGACCAGTGTTTTCTTGGCACTGTGGTCAGAAAGCCGTCTCTTTCAAAAGCTGGTATTTGCGGAGGATTTAAAATGATTACATTTCAGGTAGCTGGGTCTCGGGAAAACAACGCACAGGCCAGCACAGCAAGTGGAGAGTGGAACCCTAACATGAAATAAATCTCTGACCATGGAGAAAGGGTTTGAACCATTAACCCAACTCGCAAACATCTGCTCCTTTCAGAATCGTCTGATCTAATCATACTTTTTTTTTTTTCATGGCAGTTGCTTTTCCATGTCGTCACTGCTTTCTGCATTGAGAAATTAACAGCTGGGTATGTTTCCCTGCCCTATAGATGGATGGGCATTCATCAATATCCTTCTCCAACGTCTTCTATCTGACAAGTTGGGTTTTAACAGAAGTCAACTGCAAACCACTTAGTGACCTCACCCTCCATACTCTACGAATGTCCCTGATCATAAAGCCAGAACATCAGTGGTGCAGCCATTAAAAGAGGCATGAAGACCCTCCTCCTGTGCACACGAAACGGGAGGTTGCACTGTCAGAGCTTCCCGCAGCCCAAGTGAGGTCCCTCGGTGCCCGGGGCTGCCGCTGCACCCGGTTTAATACAGTAGGTCTGCGACACCATTAATTTTGCCTGTTCCTCTCCCCTCCCCCATCCTGTGCTCTCTTTCATTTCCTCCTCATAAATATGAAGAACGTATTCCCAATCCTTGTTGAGCAAATGATTCATGCCAAAAGCCCAATATGCACTGACTCAGGGTATTTATATTGTCTCTGGTAGCCAGTATTTGCTAGTATACTGTAATTATTTTTGACAACCTTGCATTTAAGGTAGCCACAGATAACCAACTTAATATTCAAATGTTCATAAATCCTTCTGTTTAATATCCTCCCTACCTAATCTATGTACATTATTATTACAGGTAATGCAGAAAGTACAGGGCATGAAAAGTGCAATTAATCTCGATCCTTCCCCAGGAAGCAATGTCACTCCAAAGCCAGGTTTCTGTGTTAACAGCATTATTGGGGGAAAGGAGTTCAGGTTCCAGAGGAGTCTCCCCAAACTCCTACACAGGGAGTCTCAAGTCGCCTAATTAAGAATCTGTCCAGTCTTGAGATTCTACATCCCTCCTTTGCAGTTGTAAAAAATTATGCCATGCAAAGTCTTGGCTCTGACAGTGGGGCTGGGACAGACTGGCTGTAACAGATTAAAATATGGCTCATTCCTGCTCTACTCCTGGGCTGGCAAGGGGGCCCCTGCCGCCCCTTTGAACTGCCTTCCCTCTGCGTCTCACTACAGGACCCATTCATTCTTTTTCTGAAAATAAAATGCACCTAATTTCCTTATTGCTTCAAAAGGGGGGCAGAGGATTCTCCCACTGCCCTTGTCCTGGTCTTACACCCTCTCCCACACACGCCTCACCATGCACGCCTGGCCTTCATAGAGTAAGAGATACAAAGCAGGCACTCAACACACACCTCCTGAATGTTCGACAAATGATTAGATCGATGTATTTTCTACCATCCACTTACCCATGACACTAAACTTAACAAGCCCCAGTGACTTCATTTTTTAACTTGCTATTGTCCCTACTCCAAGGGATCAGGGGCTCTTCTGGCTGAGAGTACCAACAACCCACAGCCTTGAAGGAAATGCAACAAAAACAGAAATCAGAAACAGCCAGTGAGATCATGGCTGGCCTCTGCAAATGCAGTCTCCTCTTCAGCAGGAGGTACCGAGGCTGAGTGGAGATCAAGAGTGAACACGTGAAACCACCGGGCAGAGCATGGTGTGAACACGAGATGCTCAAGCCTCAGGAGTTGGTCCTGCAGCCCTGCGCGGCAGTGAACACGCAGACTTCCTGCAGAAAGGGGTAGCCAGAGGCAGAAGAGAGGTGACAAAAGCTAAGAATATGGGTAGTTTCAAAGAGTATAGGTAACCTCCAGGAACAAAAGGGACAAGAGAGCACCAAAGGTATTTATGGACGCAGGATGGAGGGATGGAGCCAGGGGCACTGCCCGAACGTCACAGGCCTGACATCTGGAAAGGTAACCTGGCATTCAGACTGCCCCTGGGGTCTCCTCACTGCACCGTGACCCAACCTCAGACCTGCCCCTGGGGTCTCCTCACTGCTCTGTGACCCGATTCAGACCTGCCCCTGGGGTCTCCTCATTGCTCTGTGACCCGACCTCAGACCTTCTCCTGGGGTCTCCTCACTGCTGTGACCCGACCTCAGACCTGCACCTGGGGTCTCCTCACTGCTCTGTGACCCAACCTCAGACCTTCTCCTGGGGTCTCCTCATTGCTCTGTGACCCGACCTCAGACCTGCACCTGGGGTCTCCTCACTGCTGTGACCCGACCTCAGACCTGCACCTGGGGTCTCCTCACTGCTCTGTGACCCAACCTCAGACCTTCTCCTGGGGTCTCCTCACTGCTGTGACCCGACCTCAGACCTGCACCTGGGGTCTCCTCACTGCTCTGTGACCCGACCTCAGACCTGCTCCTGGGGTCTCCTCACTGCACCATGACCCAACCTCAGACCTGCCCCTGGGGTCTCCTCACTGCACCATGACCCAACCTCAGACCTGCCCCTGGGGTCTCCTCACTGCACCGTGACCCAACCTCAGACCTGCCCCTGGGGTCTCCTCACTGCACTGTGACCCGATTCAGACCTGCCCCTGGGGTCTCCTCACTGCACTGTGACCCGATTCAGACCTGCCCCTGGGGTCTCCTCATTGCACCGTGACTCAACCTCAGACCTGCCCCTGGGGTCTCCTCACTGCACCGTGACTCAACCTCAGACCTGCCCCTGGGGTCTCCTCACTGCACCGTGACCCAACCTCAGACCTTCTCCTGGGGTCTCCTCACTGCACTGTGACCCAACCCACTGCTCTGTGACCTGATTCAGACCTGCCCCTGGGGTCTCCTCACTGCTCTGTGACCCAACCTCAGACCTTCTCCTGGGGTCTCCTCACTGCTATGACCCAACCTCAGACCTGCCCCTGGGGTCTCCTCACTGCTCTGTGACCCGATCTCAGACCTGCCCCTGGGGTCTCCTCACTGCACCATGACCCGATTCAGACCTGTCCCTGGGGTCTCCTCACTGCACCATGACCCGACCTCAGACCTGCCCCTGGGGTCTCCTCACTGCACCATGACCCAACCTCAGACCTGCCCCTCGGGTCTCCTCACTGCACTGTGACCTGATTCAGACCTGCCCCTGGGGTCTCCTCACTGCCCCGTGACCCAACCTCAGACCTTCTCCTGGGGTCTCCTCACTGCACTGTGACCCGATTCAGACCTGCCCCTGGGATCTCCTCACTGCACCGTGACCCAACCTCAGACCTTCTCCTGGGGTCTCCTCACTGCACTGTGACCCGATTCAGACCTGCCCCTGGGGTCTCCTCACTGCACCATGACCCAACCTCAGACCTTCTCCTGGGGTCTCCTCACTGCTCTGTGACCCGATTCAGACCTGCCCCTGGGGTCTCCTCACTGCACCATGACCCGACCTCAGACCTGCCCCTGGGGTCTCCTCACTGCTGTGACCCGACCTCAGACCTGCACCTGGGGTCTCCTCACTGCTCTGTGACCCAACCTCAGACCTTCTCCTGGGGTCTCCTCACTGCTGTGACCCGACCTCAGACCTGCACCTGGGGTCTCCTCACTGCTCTGTGACCCGACCTCAGACCTGCTCCTGGGGTCTCCTCACTGCACCATGACCCAACCTCAGACCTGCCCCTGGGGTCTCCTCACTGCACCATGACCCAACCTCAGACCTGCCCCTGGGGTCTCCTCACTGCACCGTGACCCAACCTCAGACCTGCCCCTGGGGTCTCCTCACTGCACCGTGACCCAACCTCAGACCTGCCCCTGGGGTCTCCTCACTGCACTGTGACCCGATTCAGACCTGCCCCTGGGGTCTCCTCACTGCACTGTGACCCGATTCAGACCTGCTCCTGGGGTCTCCTCATTGCACCGTGACTCAACCTCAGACCTGCCCCTGGGGTCTCCTCACTGCACCGTGACTCAACCTCAGACCTGCCCCTGGGGTCTCCTCACTGCACCGTGACCCAACCTCAGACCTTCTCCTGGGGTCTCCTCACTGCACTGTGACCCAACCCACTGCTCTGTGACCTGATTCAGACCTGCCCCTGGGGTCTCCTCACTGCTCTGTGACCCAACCTCAGACCTTCTCCTGGGGTCTCCTCACTGCTATGACCCAACCTCAGACCTGCCCCTGGGGTCTCCTCACTGCTCTGTGACCCGATCTCAGACCTGCCCCTGGGGTCTCCTCACTGCACCATGACCCAACCTCAGACCTGCCCCTCGGGTCTCCTTACTGCACTGTGACCTGATTCAGACCTGCCCCTGGGGTCTCCTCACTGCACCGTGACCCAACCTCAGACCTTCTCCTGGGGTCTCCTCACTGCTCTGTGACCCGATTCAGACCTGCCCCTGGGGTCTCCTCACTGCACCATGACCCGACCTCAGACCTGCCCCTGGGGTCTCCTCACTGCACCATGACCCAACCTCAGACCTGCCCCTCGGGTCTCCTTACTGCACTGTGACCTGATTCAGACCTGCCCCTGGGGTCTCCTCACTGCACCGTGACCCAACCTCAGACCTTCTCCTGGGGTCTCCTCACTGCTCTGTGACCCGATTCAGACCTGCCCCTGGGGTCTCCTCACTGCACCATGACCCGACCTCAGACCTGCCCCTGGGGTCTCCTCACTGCACCATGACCCAACCTCAGACCTGCCCCTGGGGTCTCCTCACTGCACCATGACCCGACCTCAGACCTGCCCCTGGGGTCTCCTCACTGCACCATGACCCAACCTCAGACCTGCCCCTCGGGTCTCCTCACTGCACTGTGACCTGATTCAGACCTGCCCCTGGGGTCTCCTCACTGCCCCGTGACCCAACCTCAGACCTTCTCCTGGGGTCTCCTCACTGCACTGTGACCCGATTCAGACTTGCCCCTGGGATCTCCTCACTGCACCATGACCCAACCTCAGACCTTCTCCTGGGGTCTCCTCACTGCTCTGTGACCCGACCTCAGACCTGCCCCTGGGGTCTCCTCATTGCACCATGACCCAACCTCAGACCTGCCCCTGGGGTCTCCTCACTGCACTGTGACCTGAAGGTCCTGCTCAGACCCACCACGGGCCCAGCTGCCAGGAACTTCCCTCCTCCATAAGGAGCTCTATCCTTTAGAGTGAGCATTTATTACTCTCATCATGAGTGGGAAAAAATGAGAGCAACAAGTCCTCCCTGAGTATGTTAGAAATCATTTTCCTAACACACACTTATCAACAAACAGGAACGGCTGCTGGACAAGAGTGTGGGTCACAGATCCATGCGACGGTCCACAGCCAGAAAATGCTGCAGGGAGGCATGAGGACTGTGACAGGACCATGGGGCTGTGGGGCTTGTGACGGAGAGAAAGACGGTGACCTTTCCCCTTCCAGACTTCTGATTGGGGATGTCTGACCCTATTTTTTCTTTATTGCTCATGAACATATTTTATTGTTGCCATAAGATTTATAAAAATAATAAAAATATTTCCCATCTGATTTTTTTTTTTTTTTGCATTTAGGCCCAAAATAAAATGGCACCCCTAAAAATGAAAATCTGACTGCTCCCTATTAGGGTTAGGGAAGACAGGTGTCCTTAGACAAGCACACAAACTCCCTGAATAGCAGGAGCTATTACTTTGAGAGCCTGAGGATGGAAGCAGCATATTTGCAGAATGCCCAGGACAGGCCTCACAAGGAAAGGATACTCACAAGAGCCACTTCTCTTTTTTCTAAACCACCAATTAGAACATCTTTAGTAGGTACCTTTAAAATTTCCTAATTTATGGGCTTAAATATTTAAAACAACACAGTAAAAGTAATCTGCATGTGTGGTGGACACCTACTCGCCGAAACAATGAAATGTCACGTGGCAGAGAGACCTGGGGAGAAAGTCAACACGGCCACGTCTTGGGGAGGGGTGACCGTGGGACATCTTCTGGCTCTGCTCCCCTCTGCTGATCAGCTTTAAAGCCAGCTCCCCGGGAAGATGCTCACATCATACTACCCTGCAATTTGTTACTCGGATGAAAGGCAGGCAGGATGAGAGCTGTGAGAGAAATCTTCTCTGGGTTTCCTCTGGAAAACAGGTTTTAATGGAATTCACTACACACTTGGGTATGTGGTTAATAATACTGTTAATAAATGAAACCCAGCAGTGGTTGCTGATCCTACCCTGTTTACTTAAAACCACAGATAAATTAACACAGCGATGAAAAACCACCACCAAAAAAGTGAGCAGAATTTCAAACACGAATGCAATGACTTGTCCTCACTTAGCAAACGGAAAGCCACTACTAGACTTACATTTTCTTTGGAAAAGGATCTTGTGAAGCACAGGTATCGGGTAACCTTGGATTTAAATAAGCCGTCTTTCCAGAGGTCAGCGTCCACACCATCTGCTGTCTGTGCAACCTGCAGCAAAGAGACGGAGAAGAGGACGCAGGTGAGGCAGGGGCCACGGAGGGCGGGTGTGAGGAGCTTCCGTACCTGCGCCAATTAACTCCGGCCCAGGCTCGCGCAGCATCTCATTAGTCCACTTCACCAGGCTCTGGGAAGAGATTTTTCCAAGAGGGGCCCAGGGAGAGTGTGAAAAATACAACTTCTAAAAATATTGTCCCTGGGGAAGTCATTGATTAAAGACAGCCTGACAAAAGTGGTTCTAATGAGAAAAGAGGAACTTTTGTTTGTCATGGACCAAGAAGGGACTGGAGAAGTCAGCACATGAAGGTGCTCATTACCAGTCACTCCGGGGACAGTACAGGGTGCAGAGGGAAGTCCAATGGGGCGTGAAATGCCAGCTGAGGGGGGCACCGCCTGCCAGGAGCCTGGGCGGCTTCCTGCTCCGGGACTGACTGGGCTGGCCAGGGGCTGCTGTCACTGGGCATGGGGGGTGGGCAGGGGGTCAGAGAGGTTCGCCCAGCCCTGTTTCTTTTCAGCACAAGTTCTGTGAGTGGAATTCAAGGTTGAAAGCCAGCGTGATAGGAAAATAAAAAAAGACTCAGCCTCTTGTTCCTAGTCTCACTGAGGAGCCATATTCTTGTATATGGCTGTAGAAATTTCCCCCTAAAGGCTTCCCTGGTGGCTCAGGTGGTAAAGAATCTGCCTGCGATGCGGGAGACCTGGGTTCGATCCCTGGGTTGGGAAGTTCTCTGCAAAAGGGAATGACAACCCATTCCCGTATTCTCGCCTGGAGAATTCTATAGACATAGGAGCCTGGCGGGCTATAGTCCCTGGGATCGCAAAGAGTCGGACATGACTGAGCAACTAACACTTTTCACTTCCACTTTCAAGCAGCATTCAAGGATGAAGCCAGCCTTGATGTGAGTCTTACAGGACTTGGGCCCTGGGCCGTGGGACCGGGACCGTGAGTGAGAAGAGTTCATAAGGAGACAGGAGAGGAGAAGGCGGCTGGCCGGGACACGCTCTCCCTATTCTCTCCACGATGCTCAATAGGGAACGATCAGGCTCTATGCTGCTTCTTCCCTCAGCACCTAACAGGTCAGAGGGGTAATCGACCTCCCACATCCTGGCTGCACCCCGACGGGACTCCGGGAAGACTTGGGAGCAGCTCCTCTTTGGGGAGCAGCGCCTTCTGCAGCCGGCCCCCTGCAGTGCACCCTGGGGTCTCCCTGCTCCTCCTTCTGAAGCTTAGACTGTGGGAGGCATGTGTGCTCATTTGCGTCCCACTCTTTGCAACCACATGGACTGTCGCCAGCCAGGCTCCTCCATGGAATTTTCCAGGCAAGAATACTGGAGTGGGTTGCCATTTCCTTCTTCAGGGTATCGTCCTGACCCAGGGATCGAACCCACATCTCTTGCGTCTTCTGTATCGGCAGGCAGATTGTTTACCAGCTGAGCCACCGGGGAAGACCATGGAAGCCTTCCTTGATCTGACAAGCTCCAGACTGTCCTCACAAACTGCTGAACACGCCTCTGTTCTTTACACAAAACTGGCCTGATTCTGCCCCGTCCCGTGTCCACACTGCACAGCAGGCCCACAGGGCTCAGGCTGTCACATGCGAAGCCGGGAGTGTGGGGGCCGACTCCACCAGGAGGGTCCCAGAGCCCCCACGGCCACGTTCTCCGAGAGAGCCCCTGAAAAGACCAAAGGCCAGCTGGCAAAAGAAAAGAGCTTGCTTTCACACCAAACAATTGTTAAGTTCATAAATGCCATAAAGCGAAAAGAAGGGTCCTTATGCTGAATGTACAAAGATGTTTGACCTGAAAGCTGAAGGAGGAAGGGTATGGCAACAATCTCGGGACAGTCTGGTTCAAGTATGTCACTCCCACAGAAAGAACACGGCGGAACAGACCAGGCCTTGTCCGCGCTTGCCCCCATAATGGTCATACATAAAGTTCCTCAGAAAACCTGAGATTTGAGGCAGTGGCCCCAACTTCTACTACCAAGGATCTTTTCTCCCACGGGTTCCATGTTTGAAAGATTTTTGTTTCCCAAACTGTACTTGTATTTCCTCAGTTCAAAGATGTAGCCATTTGGGAATTACCTGTGGATTTAAAGCACACTCCTTTAGGGAAAAAAGAAATATCATGTCAAATTGCACAAACCTATTTCTCAGATGCATGGCAATTTCGGAACCATTAAAATGTGACAAGATGCCAAAGGAACAAAGAAAGAAGGGAGCCTATGTGGTTTCTCTATAATAAATGCATTATTTTTGATAAATTTTTTTAAAAAAACCACAGAGTCTGCAGAACACGCAAAGGCTGCGGTACCTCAGAAGAGAGAGAGCTGCGTCTGGCCTTCCATGGAAAAGCCTGGGGGTTCAGGAGGGTTTTCCTGGCTACTGGAAATTCCACCGTGGGGTGGTGTGCCCCTTCATTCAAGGCCGTCATTTCCAGGGTCTGAAAATGAGGATTCCCTCCTCTTGTCCCACTGCTAGAATCTTCCCTTTCCTGAATGAGAAGACACCCTGGTATGATGAAGAGGCCGGTGCAGGAATGCAGAGAGGGGAGAGGGAAGCAGGAGCAGGCCTGCTCCTTCCTCATAGGCCCCCTTCTCTCCCTCTGTCCCTGCAGTTAACAGGCCTCCAACCTGCTCCTGAGACCCATTCAACAAGGTCCACCATGGCCCAGCTCTGCCCTGAGCCACAACCCATGTGCGGTGAAGTGAATATGAGTAATACCCTCCAACCCCAGCCAAGGGGAGGTGAGGAGGGAGGTGAGAGGGAGAGAGAGGAAGAGGGAGAGAACCATGTGTGGGGGTGTGCATGTGCACATGCGTGTGCATGGGTGGGTGTGGGTGTGCACAGCACAGAGGTGCCTGCAGCCAGGGGTCCACAGGCTGGGCTGGATCCACCTCCAAGGCTGCTTGGGGCATGGGGAGCCCAGAGCTGGCTCAGCAGCAGGACTAGGGAAGTGGCCCTGGAGGAACAAGGCTGGGCCTTCACAGCTTGCCTTCCCTGGAGCAGGAGAAGTACCCAGGCAGGTAAAGGTGCTTCCCAACCTAAACTCTCCCCATGGCAAGTTGGACTAGCTATGAGGTAAGTTGGAGAAGGAAACGGCAACCCACTCTAGTGTTCTTGCCTGGAGAATCCCATGGACAGAGGAGCCTGGTGGGCTACAGTCCACGGGGTCACAAGGAGTCAAACACGACTGAAGTGACTGAGCATATGGGGAAAGTATGTGGTCAGTAGCTACATGGGTGCCCTGCAGAGGTTCACATCTAAACTCTGTCCCCGTGAACTCAGTCTTGAGTCCCAGGATGGGAGAGTGGGGACAGGGAGGCAGGCTAAGTGTGGAGGAAGAAGGTTCTAGATACAGCAGACCCCAACCTGACACCCCAGGCTTCAGCAAGCCCCTCTCTCGGGGGCACTGTGGGGACAGAGGGGATAATGCATGAGACCTGCCTCAGTGCTCACCCGGGACCCCATGAAACCAGCGCCAACTGACAGGTTTACGCAAATGTGATGACGTGAAGCATGCTTTTAAAGCGATATCATACTACATCAGGATTCGAGAAGCCCTGCATTGTCACACGGGGGCTCAGCTCCAGCCTCTGGTCCCTGGGGTTCCTTCCCATCTCTGGGACTACACCTGGTCTTCAACACAGACTATGTACTTGTGTGACTGACCTTTATCTGCTCTACTGTCCCGCCACTGACAAAAGCTCTGCCAAGATGAGGACAGTGTCCGATGGCCATTTATCCCCTGCACTCAGCATCCTGCCTGATACACATGGGCTCAACCGCAACTGGCTGAAGGGGTGAACGGACGAATCAGCCCGCAGATCTGCAGCAAACCGTGAAAAACCAAGTAACCCTGCTAGCTACTGGAGTAAGGTAATACAAACTTTAAAAATGAAATTTCCAGGACTTAATCCCTTGAGCTGAGTGTATGTGTCCCCTTCAAAATCACCACTCGGAGGCCAAACCCCCATTTCAACAGTGAGGCCACTTATTTTTTCGGTTTTATCTGTACCTGTTGTGTTCCCCAAACGACCAGAGGATGCCTAACGCTGCTGCTAGCTGCAGTGTCCCGGGTGTGTCTGTCATAGGGGTTCACACGCGCGTGCACACACACACACCCCTTTCACACACGCACAAGCTCATACCCCCCTCTCCTTTTCCCATCTTCCCAGTACAGGAGCTGCCTCTGCAGAGGAAGAGGTGGTCAGTGACAGACAGGACACCTGGGTTTACCTCTCTTCCCCACCAATATTCTTCTGAAATGATAATCAAGTGGAGACAGCAGGGAGCCACTAAAATAAAGAGAAAGAGAGGAGTACAGCACAAGGCAGATGCCATCAGATGTGTGGAGACGTGGAAAGTGGAAGGTCCAGGGTGCAGCAGAGGAGCGGGGAGTGACATCCCAGGGCCCGACACCACTGCGATGAGGGTGGAGGGCCTGGAGGTGGGTGGGATGTGAGTTTAGAACTGGAGACAGGCAGAACAAAGCCGTTAGACTCCTAGATCCCCACTCTGCTTCAGAAGTATTTTCTGCAGAAATGGGCTCAGGGCTCCAGGACACCAGCTCGGTGGGGAAGGATGTGAAGGAGGAAATAAAACTCCAGAGTCAGAGCAGAAGGTAGTAAGTCTGCACACCGAGTGGAACAGTGATGAACGGTGGGCCCTTCCCGGCCCCCTCCAGGCCTACCCTCCTTCCTGCTTCTGGCCCCTTGGGAGCCAGGTGTACCCCCTAAATGCTGCAAATTGAAGGATGTGTCTCTGGAGAAATTAAAGAGTACCAGAGAGAAGACCAGCATCCACAGGCTCTGAGGTCTCTGGTTACGGTTACAGGAGCCAGCTCCCGGGCACACGAGCCCCACCCCTACCACAGGGCTGCGACCCCAGGAGCTAGGGCTCGGCTCTTAACTGACAACAAAGAATTACCAGGCACTGGGGGGAGTCTCAAATATGACGACAGGGTCCAAATTATTAGAAGAAAGGGAACCT